GGACCCTCAGGAAAGCAGTTGCTGACTTTGGTTCAATCACATAAACCAAGTATGTGACTGCCAGAATGGACACAAAGGATAACTATGTTTTGCCTATAAAAACTCACCTTTAGTACCCAGACATAGATGAGTTAAAAACAAAAGCATAGAGAGAAATTGACCGTGTAGATACTTCCCATAAGAAGCTGCAGTTACAATCACGCTATTCTACAGTGTTTGTGTAAGAGATGGTACCCTGGTTAAGGCAGCACTCTAATGAGAGCAGGGCTAACTCACTGAGAAGACTGCCATCATCAATATGCACACACCTAGTAACAGGACTTCAGAAACTCATGTGTTAGAAAGAGAAACAAAACTACAACATCAACTAATTTAAGAATGTCTCACTCACACCGGTTGTTGGTGGCACACACCTTTAATCCAGCACTTGGGAGGCAGAGGCAGGTGGATCTCTGTGAGTTTGAGTCCAGCCTGGTCTACAGAGCTAGTTCCAGGACAGGCTCCAAAGCAATACAGAGAAACCCTGTCTCAAAAAACCAAAACAAATAAACAGAAAAAAACTAAGACAGAACATATTTTTTAAAATTTAGCTCATAACTCCAGAGCATCCAAGCTTTCTTCAAATGTGTGTTTGCCATGGAGACAAATGATGTGCTGGAGAGCAAAGATCAGTTTTTCCACCTAGAAACCATATAGATTTTCCTGCCTGGGCTATGTTGAACATTCTCTTGACTTTTCTCTTTCACTGAGTTCCTGGCTACTGGCTTTCTTTATTTTCCTGATTTGTTTCTTTGTTTTTCTTGCTTTAACTTATCCTATTGTGAAAAACCTCCCCTAACACTTGTTATGAGAAAATTATATGGCAACTGTGCTAGATTCTTCCTCCATATCTGTCTTCAGCATCACTGTACATTGGCAAGCAAATCCACAGAAAAGCCACCAATGGACTTCTAAGTCCTCTGATTTCAGGAAGCTTACAGCAGAGTGAAGGGAGGAAGTGAGGATGGTGAGTCTGGAGTTATTTTCCTCTAGATTTTTCTCTAGGTCACCTGACATAGCTGTGTCCCCCCAAAGAGAGGTCATGTCTCCTCCACAGATTCTTCAGTGAGAAACTGGTCACAGCCCTGTTTTCTTTCTGCTTTAGGTCAAGTAATGGCAAAGTCTGCTGTTCCCCATCATCTGCTTCACCATCCTCATTGTCTCCCAAAAGAAAGATTATTTATTAGTAGTTTTGTTAAAATTTTTCCTGGATTGCTGGAAGGTGTTATCTATGCTGTTGGAAGAGAAGAATAATCTGAAGGTCATCCTTCAAGCTGCAATAATGACCAGCTTCACAAGATGCACCCATTGGTAAAACAGTGGCATGATGTTGTGTGAGTAACCAACCACTTCCTGATGAAACACATACCTGGCCCTCTTGACATGGCTGAGAATCTATGGCCCTAGGGAGAGCCCAATTCTATTAGTGTGCTAAGTGGACATACTATGAAAATGTTTCCTAATGGCTTGTTACTATGCTTATAGAAGATAGTAACACTCATCACACTCATCAGAGAAGCTTCCTTTTGCAGCAGATGACAATTAATATTGGTATCCTCAACTGGGAAACATGAAGAGATGAGAAACTATAGCGCTCTCAGTCCTCAGTGGGATTTCCATTACGTGAGTCACAGGGTAGGTCTTATGTGCTGGAGTCCTATCCCTTAGTTTGGGTTTTTGGGGTATATATTGAGCTGGGGATAGAAATGGGAACTTTCCCACATTTCTCCTCTCTCCTGTTAAGGATCATATCCTTGCATTTTGCAATATCATTCATTTTATTGTCCATAATACTGCTGTTTTCTGTCTCCTGTGCTGCTACTATAGGTTTCCTCATGATCTTTTCCTTCTCTAATCAGGGTTGCCTTTCCACCATCAGCTGTTAATTCACAAGAATTCTTTCTTTGTTTTGTTCTAAAGACTCTCCTTTTCCCTAAAACATGCCCTGCTCTGGCTTTATCAGTGATTCCCAGTGAACACAGTGGCTGTCGAGTAGCAGTGAAGTGTATTTGTTTTCTATTTCTGCCCCCAAAATGACCACAAGCGTCATGGCATTGGCAGCACAAGCTTTTCTCACAGCCGTGTGGAAGAGCAATCTGGGCTCAGTTGAGTGAAAATCATGTGTTGGCTCATGTTTTCCTTTTCCAATGGTCTAGGGGAGAACCCACTTCCTGGCTTGTTTGTGTTTTGGTAACATTTAGTACTCTCTGATTGTAGGACTGAGGTACATGTTTGTTTGTTTGTTTGCTATAAGATGGGAGACAACCCTAGCTTCTGCAGGCCACCCACAATGTTTGGCTCCTGTCTCACTCCCGGCTTTCCAAGTCAGTAATGTTGGTTCAGTCTCTAATCTTCATCTCTCTTTCCATTCTTGCCTCCATGTGACCTCAAATGGACAAGACTCTACTTCTAAGAACTTGCATGCTTAGGTTGGGTCTAATCATTTTGTCCAATACTCCCTCTCTTGCTCAAACTTAGCACTCGTAGTCACGATTTTGAAGCCTCCTTTGCCACGTAAGGTCATACACTCATCAGTTTAAGGAATGACATGGTGTATTAGATGTTTTTCTTGTTGTTATGACCAAAGAATAAACAAAGGGAAAGGGATAAAAGTTTTTTGAGGGGAAGCAGTCCACTATGGTGGGAAATGCACGGATGGCAGTAGGAACAGTAGGCAGATGGTCCCCAGTACAGAAGCAGAGAGAGATGACTCCTGTTGCTCAGCTCCCTTCCAATTTCACCCCCTTCCTTATTTTTCTCTTGTTTTTGTTGAGACAGGGTCTCTATGTTGCTCTGGATGTTCTGGAACTCATTCTGTAAGACGAGGCTAGCTTCAATCTCACAGAGAACTGCCTGCCTCCCAAGTGCTGAAATTAAAGGTGTGCACCAGCAGGCCTGGTTTGTTTCTCTCTTTATATTCCATCCATGGAAGGATGCTGCCCACATTTAGGGCATGTCTTCCTTCCTCAGCTAACTTCTCAGCAAACACCCTCATAGACATGCTCAGGTGTGTCTCCTTAGTGCTCTAGCTGTTTCTTAAAAGCAATGAAGTTAATTGAAATTAACCCGACTAGAGAGAAAACACATTGAAATGCCACTATTGCGCTCTGGTGCAGGGAATGCACAGGTCTGATTGTCACACTTAGCAGGAAGTTCCTACTCTAAGAGAGTGCCAATGAAACTGACTTACACTAGGAGGGCTGAAAGGTCTTGTCAAAGATACAGATGGTTTTAGCACAGGACATAAAAAATCTAAAAAGGCATATTTTTCAGGTAATCAATAGCCTTCAACAATAAGATAGGATGAATTTGTTTTGAATGGATCCAGAACCAAGGGGAAGAAGCAGGCCTGAAGCTTGGTAGAATAGTCTTTTATATGAAGGACTAGTAAACAGCTGGGCAGTTTGTCTTTGAAGGCTGTGACCATTCTGTATTAATGCTGGGTATGGACAAGTCACTGTATTAATGCTGGGTATGGACAAGTAAATCATTGCTTGATTCAGTCCTCAATCTGTGCAAATCTATTACTGTCTGTCTTTGATGAAGCAAAGATCAATTAAAACACAGTTTGTTTTCTGCTCCCAAAGAATTTGGCCTAGAGTCTTTTCTGACTGACTTCAACCCTGTCCTTCATTTTTTCTGTTCACGTCTTTAATAAATGAATATTTATTGAACACCAATAATGGCCAGATAATGGTCTAGGTATTGGGGACACATGAGTGAATGAATTGAGAAGAACACAGCAATATTCCCCGATCTTTCCTGCCTGCTTCCTAGCTCTGCTTCCTCTTCTCCAGCCCCCCCCCAGCACTGTTGACCACTGGCTACAGTTGTCACTTGCTATGACATTGCTACAGTCATTGCAGTGCTGCTTAGGTGGCATTCTCTTTGACCTACTTCATGCCCTTCTTGCAAATCAGTCCTTTGCAGTCAGTGTTAAACTGACTGATCACAACTGTCCACCCACTGCAGGCAGAAACCAAGGCAGACTTCTTAGCCTGGCTGTCACCAACCCCTCGGCTGGAGTATCCTGCCTTTCCCACCATGATTGCTGGGATAGTTAGGTATTCCTTCCTTCCCTGTAGGAAGAATGTCTCAGTACTCCCCGACCTTAAACATTCCCAAGTGCAGGTCTTCGTTTTTGCTATTTGCTTTGCCTAGAATGACTCTTTTTTGTCTCTAGATTCTCAAATCCTGTACGTCTTCCATGTCCCCCAGTCAGAGTTTTCCATGAAACTTGTTTTTTTCTATTTTTGGTGGAGCTAGGCATTGACCTTAGGGTCTCCAAGATGCTGGACAAGCACTATACACTACTGAGATAGATCCCCAGGTCTGGAATTTCTTAAAATATCATTTTCCCTTGGAGCACACATTAATCAATTCCCACCTCGCCAGCCATCGAGTTAGCTTTTGTATCAGTGCACACTCTCCTGTTCACTGGGTAAGGCTTGGTAAATCAGAGTTCATGCATGCTACATTTCGTTGTTTTTTTTGACCTCAGTCCTGGTCCCATATGTGTTCCTTGAGTAACAGAAGCAGAGAGCAGGAAGTGAATCCTAGTTTAATTTCTACTCTTTAAGAAATGGAAATGGATCCCATTTGTCTTAACCCACACAAAGAAACAGAGTTCAGTACACAAGGAGGGGCAGTTCTGGTATGCACTTGTCAGGGAACACTTTCCATTCCTGTTGAAAATGGAAATGTTGCAGTTCAGGAAAAGACCTAGGTAATCTGTTCAACCCCGTTTCCACGGAGGGCTCACTAAAAACCACCATAGGACGAATGAGACATTTGTTCACCTATGCCGCAGGAGAAGCTCCTGAGCCATATGCCGGCCCAGGAATGACAAGGCTGTGAATATGAACCTTGAGTTTTCAAGCAGATGCAGGTGCACCTTCTGTGACCTACGATCTTATCTTGGCCTCCAGAAGATGGAGAATTTGGATAATCAGGGACAGTACCTGAGCAGGCAACGTGACAGTGATTCTTCTGCTGTCTTCTTTTATTCCTGCACCAAGTGAAGCTGTTTATCTGGAATATGCCATAATCAATGCTCCCGTCCTTCAGGAGGGTCCGGACTGTGGTGTTGTAGTGGCTCTCATAGTATGCCATGCAGATCCCTATATGTGGAGAGAAAGACCTAAGGGGACCACAGTCCTTTAGCTCAGTCTGCCCTATGAAGTGACTTTCTCTATACAATTTCTTTATACTCACTAGCCTCCTCCCAGCAGAACTTTGGGCAGGGTGCACATGTGAGAACGAGCTTCAGCAGGGTGCGGGAGTGTGTACAGGAGCAGGGTGCCCACAAGAACCACTACTGAGCCTTATCTGGGCACTCCTAGTCTCTTCTACACACTGGGATGGGTGGCATCATTGTTCTTTTCCCACCCTGGGGTCATGAGCACAGGACTCCAGCAATGAGCAACCAAGGACCATGGGGGAGAGGAGATAAGGGTGAGCATAAGCAGCAGAGGAGAATATGTGAAGAGCTGGGAGCCATCTCAGGTGGGGGTAGAGCTTGCCAGGCTGGAGATCCAGGTGGAAACACGGAGTGGTTCTGCAACACCTCCTAGCAGACGCCCACACTCAAAACTAGAATAAGACAGGAGGCAGGGGAGGAATCTCACAGTTTCCAAGGCTAAATCCCCGGTAATTGTCCAGGTTAGCATTCACAAATATTTTTGCCAGTTTACATCGAGTGTAGACTTTGGATTCTGCAACTATGCTGAGGCTAATAATCAGGGCCAAGACGCCGGCAGCCTTCATCCCTAAGGTCCGTTGGAAGCAGAGCCTGCCAAAAGATCCAGAGAGATCAGACAACCTTGGTTCATCCTCAGACCACTAGTCACCAGAATTTCAGAACATAGTTATCCTGGTTGAGGGCAACCCCATGTTAGTACTTCTTGGTTGTGGGCAACCCCACCTGTGGTGATATTTTGTTTATGCTATAACAAATAATGCTTGCCTGAATATCAGAGTGTAGAGATAAGCCACTTAGTTAGCCATAGAAGCCAGGCAATAGTGGCACACACCTTTAATCCCAGCACCTGGGAGACAGAGGCAGACAGATCTCTGTGAGTTCAAGGCCACCCTGGGCTACAAGAGATTAACTCTAAAAGAGAAACAGAGCTCACACAAAGGTGATTCCGGCACTTGGGATCACATGCCTTAAATCCCAGCACTTGAGGAGGTGGAGACAGGAGTGATACAGCTTGGCAGAGAGAGGAAAATAAGACAGGAGGAGACAGGAGCTCAGTGCAGACTGAGGAGCCATACAGTCTGAGGACAGGATCGTCGCTTTGGTCTGAGCATTGGTATTGGTAGAAGTAAGAAATCTACAGTGGCTAGCAGCTCTGCTTCTCTGATCCTCCAGCTTTCACCCCTGATAGCTGACTCCAAGTTTTTATTATTAAGAACAATTAGAATTCATGCTACACCCACCTGATGACTTCCTGCCTGTTTTCAGCCATTCTGAACCTCTATGTTGGCGCGGTGTGTGGATTTTGGTGGTGGTGGTGGTGGTGTTAACTCAGACACAATACACAGGGCAGGAATAAGACTGGGGGCTCTTGCTGTGTCCTTAGAATCAGACAAAGAGGAATGTACCTTCCGTCACTGATATCCAGGTGGACACCATGGCCTTTCCAGATGTTCACCTTCACTCCATATAGATGAGGAAAGAAAGGAGAGAGGTATTCCCTACATATGCACTCAATTTTGTGGCAAGAGGTGGGACAAATTAGTGTCTGTGGGGACATTGGACTTCTGGTCTGCTGAGGGCTCTATGTCTCTGCCATTCTCCTATTTGATGTTTTTCCAGATGGGGAGGTATTGAGAGACATACTATCTGACGTTGCAAAAAAAAAAAAAAATGGGATGTTTGTTTTTGAGGGGTCTCCCTCATTGCTACTCCAGTGGAGGTGGCTACATGTTTGGCTTCTGGTGAATTTGAGTGGAGAGAGGACAATGGGTGGGAGATGTTGAAGTGAGGAACAGGGACAACAAAGGAACTTATTTAAACAACAAAGGCTTATTTAAAAGAGGTGCAAAAGTGAGAGTTGGCTTTCTTGTTGGAGACTGACTTACAACAAGATCTTTCTCCACCCAAACAATGCCATCTTCAAGCAACAGGACTTGGCTGGAGTGAGGCTACTGTGATATTTCTGGTAATTATCCAGGACACTAACTCAAGATTCCTCAAAATTGGTACAGTTTTGGGTTTTTTGTTTTGTTTTTTCTACTATTATTTTCTGCAACTGCCTAGAATCTTCCCAAGGTGCTAGTCATTCCCATGGAGATAGCTTTCCCAACTGAGAAATTTGAAAGCAGGGCTCAGTGTTTCAAGCATGGATTAGCAGAGGACCACAGTGGAGTTTCCAGTTTCTAAGCAATGTGGTACCTGGATGCTGGTGAAGGACAAGGCTCAGAAAATCAGATCTATTTTTCTAAATAAAGTTTTATTGGAACTGGGGTTTGCCTATATGGTGGTATATACGGTGGTATATTGGTGGTAGGTGGTGGCCTATATGGTGGTATACTATGCTTGGCTGCTTTCACAGTGCAGTGTCAGGCCCCAGGAACCATGTCAAACTGTAGAGGCCACCAAACCTACAATACCATCTGTCTCCTTAGGGAAATGTGTTGCCCGGTGGCTTTACACTAGATACAGAGAGGCAGACAGATGATGTGTCAGTTTCCATATCTAGTCAGTTTCCATCCATTGCATCAGAATCTGCTCTGAAGCAGATCAAGACAATAGCCACAGCAGTGGCAGCCCCACACATACTGTTTAACCACTCTGAAGCCAGGGCTTGCCCTTGCTGGGCTTGTCAGAAAACTGGGGTTCCTCTGTTACTGAGAAGGCAGATTCCCAGTGCCATCTGTAGACTGGTTTCCTGGGTGATGGGTGGGAGGGACCTGGTTCTACTTACTCAGTCAGTGAGCTGTAGTTCCCAGGATCTTCCTGAATCCCTTGAAGCCATTTCTGATTCTCACAAGGCACAAGTGATCCTTCACTAACTCAAGGGCCTTTCCCTAGAGCCTTGGCAAAGGAAAGGTTCTTATTGCCTTTGTTTCCAGATGCCTGGAGGTTCTAGAACCCCAAAGTTCTCAATAGACTTGTTCAGCGTCTACCTGCCTCTCTTTTTATCCTTCCAAGTCAACAGCCTGATCCATTAGACAACTTAGCCAGGGCCTCCTTTGCAAGTGAGATCACTTTTCTAAAACGACATCTCCAGACTACATCCCAGCCCCCATCACTAAATGGGCATGAACCCAGAATTCCAATTACAGGTTCCTGTACTTCCATGCTTTATGGACCATCAGTACTATGTAAGTTAAAATTTAAAAGATAGAGGTGAAATTAACATTTAAGACTTTAACAGCATAAATTTATTTGCTTTAAGCAAATGGCTATTAATAAAATACCTTTAGAAAAACAGGAGAATCCAAGTAGAACTTAACAGCGCCCAGAAGGCAAGAATACAATATTAAGGTGCAAGAACTCCCAACCCCTGATAAAAATGTTTGTACATGATGAGCACTCTTTCATTATTATTGAAAATTTTTATGTGTCACAAAAGACCTGGTTTCAAGCCTGTTTGTCTCCAGGCTTCAATGGGACAATACATCAAAATTTTAATTGAGATATGCAGGTCTAGTTAGAAGGATATTACCAGTGGTGCTTAACTACTTACTGCATTTTCTTAAATTTCTTATGCCAATAAAGCAGATGCTTTGCCCAAATTTACTTTTTAAGTCTGCATAATGTTCAGAGCTAGAGTAACATACATAGTTCATTGCTGTGCATACATGAGGCTGTTTCTTTCTTCTAATATAAAGATATTAATAATCTCACATTTTTTTACTTTTCTAAGAATGTCTGTAGGACCAATTCCTGGGAAGGGGGCTTCTGGGCTTTTATGATTTTGTATTGCATTGTCAGATTGCATTCCATATTGAGTCATGTTAGGAGAGAGGGCTCCTGCCTCACAAAAGGTGTTGTCAAACACGGTAGTGTTGCCTGTATGAGATAAACTACAGTTCTCGGTGGAGCATCAGCTTCTGGCTCACTAGTTTCGAGCTGTTTGAGCATCTTTTCTTATGTGGACTCTGTTCATGGATGCTGTGAAAAGTGTGTGATGAGAGAAAAAGTGTAGGCTCATTCTTTAAACTCCCTTCAGCATGCTTCAAATCAGATTTTACTATTCATCAAGTCCACAGGATCAGCCAAAGAATCTCTTTCATTTTCTTTCTAAAATACCTGCTTAACATCTTTGCAGGCCATAGGAAAGACATACAAAAGCCATTCATATTTTTGTATTTTGTATCAGTCACTTTTCCTGTTGTGGGAGGGTTATGTGCTGATGATGAATCAGAGAAACTCTGAAAGGATAGAAAAGATACACCAGGCTCATGCACTTATATTAAGATTTGGCTTGCTTTCATGTTTAGTAGAGTCCTAGTTAAAATTCCAGACATTTGCTTTGGAAATGCCAGTCAGGTTATTCTAAAGCATATTTGAAAACAAAGCTGAGTGGGACAGTTAAAGGAACCCTGAAAAGATGAAGTGGGAGGGCCCACAATGACCAACTTTAAACCTAACGCAACACTGCTTCAATCAAGGAAGGGCAACTAATGAGATCAACACGTGGGCCAACAGAACAGGGCGCAGAGCCCATCAAAAGCCAGGCAGCTCAGGGTTGTTGGGGATACAGATGTCATTAGATGAGATGATGTTATTTTTGACAAATGGCTGGAACAATGACAAACAACACTCTCCATAAGGCATAACTAGTAGCTGGTCAAGTTGTAAAGCTTCTGTATGTTAACATTGAGAATCTTCTGGATTTCGTGCTAAACTTTCATCTTGAATTTTGTGCTAAAATTGCACTGCCAAACTCAATTTACGAAATAATTAAAAATAGTTATAAACTGGACTTGACCAAATCAAAACTTTAGCTTTTTGAAAAATGCTGTTAAGAAAATGAAAAGACTAGCCACAGTTTTGAAAATATTTACATGTTGTATGTCTGATAAAAAGTCATATGTGTGTGTATATATATATATATCTTAAAATTTGACAATGAGCAAACGACCTAATTAAAAAATGAGCAATAGTGACCAATAGGGCATCTCTATCACACCCCTCCCAGTAAGGCTCAGAGACCATTGTGAGAGAGGATGCAGAGAAATTGTAAGAGGGGATGGGAGTAAAACTGGCTTCTGGACATGAGGGTACATCTGCCCTCATGAACTCACAGCAGCCATGGCTGTCTGCCCAGGACCTGCATAAAATCAAGGCATCAACATCTCATCATGGAGTGGGGAGGGGCTCTTGAGACTCCTCCCCTAATTGAGGAGCCATTGACAGCTTCTGGGGGGGAAAGCCCGTTTGCTTTAAGGGTATGGCCCCTGGTAGGTTGACCAGCGTATGACTCCACACCTTTGAGTACACAGGCAACACAAATTAGACTTGGTGGATTGTTATTACTCTTTTTAAACAGGAGGACACAGAGTTGGGAGGGGATGGCAAAGTGTGGATGGGTCTAGGAGGAGTTAGGGAGAATGTGGGGGGTGAATATGATCAAAATATATATATTGCAAGCAAGCAAAATTCTCAAAGAATAAATAAAATATATTTATGTTTTTCTTTGGAAGAAATGAGCAAAAACCATCTGAAATGGGGTATCAAAGAAGATTTGTAAGTAGCAAAGCTGTTGAGTGGACATCTCCCATTATCTGTTGCTAAGTGATTTCTAAAACTATAATTACTTATGGCTTCAATGAAAACTGAAATTGACAGACAATAATCTTGTACTCAATGAAGCCAAGGAGAAGAAGGGACGTTTATACCTTGCTTGCAAAGTGCAGTGTGGCTTACCCATTTGGAAAGTGGCTAGATAAAGTTTATTGCATAGTTAGACACAGGCTTACGGTGGAAACCAAACAACTCTAAGGCACTTATTCAAGTGAATCAAAACCTTGTGTTCACACAAAAACAAATTAAACAATATCTATAGCATAGCTTTATGGAACCACTAGGAACTAG